CGGTTTAAGGAGTTTTTAAACTCCTTAAATGTGGGGGAGGCACATTTATATTAATGTTCATTCTGCAGCTGTCGTGACCTAAGTAGGTCATTAGTGACCCACTGTGCCACCTCCACAAGCCGTGATGACTGCCAATCCTGCCTGGCGAGGATGAGAAGACAAACAGTTGTGCTTGATGGAGCTGAGAGCGACTTTAGAGAGATGGATAGATATGGACAAGTTTACACTGAAGCAGAATTTAAAAACGAACCCGGGTTTCCTGTCTCCATGTTGTGTCTTTCTGACATAGTATGTGACTCTCAGAATTTCTCTGACTAGCCTCGCAAAATAACCTGGAATTGGATTCTCCTTATTTGGGAATTAGCTTCTCAGCATAGACCTAAGGTTTCTAGAGACTTATCTACACTGGATTTCATCACTCTAACGCCTCCTCTATTCTCTCTGATCCTGCTTGGTTAGCCAATATCGGCGAAAAGGGCTGAAACTGGAGGAACAGAATAAGCTCTTGCTTGTGTAGTCAGTGGACCAGTGCTTGTGAGGGTCTGAGAGGCAGCCTGCTTCAGGGAAGGTTACTGACACTTAGCTCTATGAGCAGAGGCAAGTGACCTCCTCTCTCAGGACCTCAGCTCCTCATTGGAAAAACTAAAAGTTTTATATATTTTGGAATAATCTCTACCAGATTTTTTTTTGCGGTACACGGGCCTCTCACTGTCGTGGCCTCTCCCGTTGCGGAGCACAGGCTCTGGACGCGCAGGCCCAGCGGCCATGGCCCACGGGCCCAGCCGCTCCGTGGCATGTGGGATCCTCCCGGACCGGGGCACGAACCCGCGTCCCCTGCATCGGCAGGCGGACTCCCAACCACTGTGCCACCAGGGAAGCCCCTCTACCAGATTTGAAGCTACCAGAAATGAAAGGTTGGGCTGTTGTCCATCAGGCCCTCATATTCTGTGTTTCCCCTGCCCATAAAAACGCAAAGACCTCTCTTTAGATGGATCACGTTAGCATTCTCGTTCAGCACTTTGTGGCGATAAAGTACAGAACAGGAAACTAGCCCATCATTTGGGCTGGTTCCTAACACCAAATAGCTGGCAGCTCACAGCCTTTCTTCTTTCTTCCTCACCGGCCTCGAGGCTCCCTTTTTAACCAGCTGTTCTGGCCCTGTGGCGCCACCTGATGGCTTCAGCGGAGCTTCTCTGCCTGTCAGGGCGCCATTTCCCTTTTGGAGGAGGGCTCTCACCCAACCTGGGTTCCCTGTTGGCCGAGCAGGTAATCCCTCATCCTACATATGTATGCCTCTTCCTCTTTCGCTGATTTCTCCAAACCACTGTTTGATTTTTTCAGGAAATCTTTCTCACTCTTCTTCCCTTTCCCTAGTCTCTCCTGTCTCCTTCCCTTTTCCATTTGCAAACCCAAAATAACCCCCTCGCGCGTGGATGAGATTAGTGCTGTAGAGTCCCTTGGATTAAGAACAAAAAAGTAAACAAGTTTTGAAGTCACGTTAGATTTGGGTAAAGAACCTCCAAAGCCTTTGAAAATATCCTCAGAGGCACGTTGAGATTGCATTTACTTCCGTTGCCACTGAACTCTTTCTTCCTCTAATTAAGCCTCTTTTCCTCATCGTTAGCACTTATGAACGCCAAAGAAACTATTACACAATTTTCTTAGTTTTCAGTTTTAGCCTAAGACTAACAATACATGACTTTACACTCATTTTCATTGCAAATATGCCAAATTTCTGCTACTTGGCAAATCAAGCAGGGATTTTCAGTCACCTAGGACTCCAACCACTATTTTATTAGCCTTCTTTCTATGGGAAAATATGGGCTGAGTTCCAAACAAATGGCTTCCAAGGTTTGCAGTTTTGGAGCACAGCCGCGTTGTGAATGGCGTGCTTTCCGTGGGGTGTTGGCGATTGTTTAGGGCAAACTGGGAGACACTGACCCAAGGGTTCATAGGGTGTTTGGGAAGATTGGAATTTTCTTCTTCTGTTGAGCAGTGGAATAATTTGGTTACACAAAGACCCTTGGAGACAGCGTGATGGCTCCTTAATAATAATAATAATGACAATAAAACTACAACCATTTATGGAGTGCTTCATGATGCGTCATGCACTGTGTAAATTGTTTCATGTGCATTAATGTGTAATTCCCAAACACAAATATTATTATCCCCATTTCAGATGAAAAACCTGACGTTCAGAGAGATTAAAATGCTTTGCCCAACATCACACATCTAGTCAGACGGGCTGACTACCATAGCTTGTCTCTTAAACATCATGAAAAGAAGCAAATATATGTAGCCAAGTGTGGTTTGCAGGGTGAGAGCTGGCATTGAAAACGGCCTGGGCAGATGCAGCTTCGCTTCCTTCCCTTGACAAAATCATAACTTGATCAGAAAACTTCGTCATTTAGCTGGTCATAAAAAATACCCTGGCAAGTTTAAATGAATCTTAATGGTCTCCAAAGCACTCTTCCATATTTTATCCCATTTGATGCTTATAATAACCCAGTGAGATAAAGGGCGATCACAGAGTAGAGGTACAAGAGTCCCATTTTATATATGAAAAAATTAAAACTCAGAGAGTTCCAGTGAATTATCTATAGCCACATGATGAGACTGGCAGGGCCTGACCAGGAATCCCTCTGACTTGCTCTAGATATTCTTTACTTGGCCAGTACGGGTTGTTAGTGGTTTCGCTAGGATACATTCAGGTCTCTGTTCTGTAGGGTCAGAAGAGCTGCATAAAGTGAGCTTGGTCAGTTCCCACAAAATCTAGGCCACTGGGAAAGGTGTCCTGTGTGGAGATCGTTGCCCTGCATCTTCATTTGCTCAGAAAGGGCAGAGTGTCAGAAACTACACAAAGGGTCAGAACAAGCTCTGAACTCTACTCTTTTCACTTCTGACTTGAGGTCTCATAGGCATAGCTATGTGTAGGAGTGGCAGCCGCTGGGAGGCAGCAGGAGAGGGATGAGAAGGCAGAGCAGTGGGGATGGACCACACCAGGTCGGAGATGGAGCAGACGTCTCTCTGCCTTCCTCTAGCATCTCTCACCACGGTGTCTATCCAGATTGCATTTCTGAAGGCCACTGCATTCAGCTGTTAACGTTACTCCATGAAACGTTAGTAGCTGAGGTAGTCCATTCAGTCAGGATGACAGAGTCTCATAAGCTTTGTAACTTGGCAAACATGGGCTCAAACTCAGCTCTGCTACTTGCTCACCATGAACAAGCTATTCGTGGAAGAAGACAGTTAATGCCTATCCCATAGGGCCTTCATGAGGACTAAACACTATAACCCGTGTAACGTTTCTAGAGCAGTGCCTTATATAGACTAGACCATCCATAAATGGTAGAACCGTTTGCATTATTTCTCTTGTTGATGGCATTCTCCTGGGAGGCTCTGGAGGTTGACAGTGGCTTCCAGATTTGAGTAATTCCATGGTGGTATCATTTAAACCCTGCATTGGATTTATTCATTAGTTCATCTCACGAGGCTTATTGAGTACATGCTCTCAGGCAGGAAGGCAGAGGCAGCCACTGCTCAGCACGTGCTCCCTGACGTTTCCTGATTGCTTACAGGTAGGCAGGGTTTATATGACCCGTTCTGGTCAATGGGCTATGAGTGGAAGTGGCATGTGTTCATTCTGGGGCCAAGAATTTAAGTGCTGATATGTGACCCTCTATCTTCCTTTTCTTCTGTTACAACATTCCGGAGGCCGTATCCACCAGAGGCATAGCGGTAGGATAAAGACAGCCTGGATCCCTGAATCACCACTTGGAAAGGAGCGGCCTTGGAGATCAGCTGACTTTGCGTGAGCAACAGATAAATATTTGCCTGTTTAACCACTAAGAATTCAGAGTTTATCCTCTACTACAGCATAGCCAAACCTAACCTCACTAATATATTTAGGCATCACGCTAAACACTAGACATTTTTAAAAACTCAGATGATATCAACATCCACCTTCAAGAAGCTCACAGTCGAAGGAGAAGACAGATTTCAGTAGCTGATTCTCTGTTAGTCGATATGATATAGAGTATAACAGAATTCCTTTTCTAGGGAGAGTTACCCAGGAATTTGGGAATATTCCCATTGTTTCTCAAAGGGTATCCCATAAATGATGTTCCGCTCCGTCTATTCTAGACAAGCTCCAATTCCCATCTATCTATAAAATTAGAATACGGCCGTCTAGCTCACAGAGATCTTGTGAGAATCAAAGGAGCTTGTAAAATGCAGAATAGCCTAATGATTAAGAGTAAATACTTTGGGAGTTTTGTTTCCTGTTATGAGGTAGAAAATCACAAAAAGCAATTTCTCCCTTGATCCTGTTTCCAGACTCTCTGTTACAATCCATTGATCTGTCTGGCTTTCTTTCTACCAATACCACCCTGTCTTGATCACTGTTTGGGGAAAGTTCTTCCCAGATTGATCTATAGATTCAACTTGACTCAATCACAGTCTCGGGAGGCTCTACATTGGAGGGAATTGGTACCTCGTTCCAAGCAAGCTTATTCCCCAAAGAAACTACACCAGCCCGATTGTTTGAGAAACATTAACTTCTTTGCCTTTTAGAAGCAGTCCCAGTGTCACTGTTTTCCTCTGCCCATGGCCAGGAAGCAGTGATCAAGTTACAAAGCATATCTCGAGGGCAGGAACTGTGCCTTTTAGATTTTCCAGATCTTTTGCAAGTGGACATCTTTCGAGCTATTTTCCTTCCTGAGGACACCAATAAATACTCCTCCAGGTGGTTCTGAGACTTAACTTCTCTAGACATAGCCTTCTCTAGCTGTAGTGTCTTTGAAGCAAAGCCTCCCTTTGCCAGGTCCTTCAGTGTCCTACTACCTGCCTCCACGTTACCCTTTTCTGCCACAACTCTCCCTTACAGACTCACAGTGAGCACCTCCGATGCCTCCCGAAATCTCTGGCCTTTCTTCTCGCCCCACCTGCCAGCTCATCCCCCTCCCCAGTTCCAAGCACACAGAAGACACGCAGCAACACACCTGGTATTAGCCTCTCCCAGTACTTGGGGAAAGCGGTGTCCAGGGGTCGCCACGCCACTCCTGGCTCACGGCTGGCTGTGGTGGGAATAGCAGTTCCCTACCCACAGCCCCCTGAGGACAGAGAAGTTTCAAGGCTACAAGTTAATCTTTAATGGGAACAACATCACTGGCTTGGAAGCCAGTGAGCAAGTGGGCCAGAGCAAGGTTAACCATGAAACGAACTTGGCGAGCTTTGCCAAGTTACCTCACATTTAAGGGACGTTCACTGCCAAATTCAACCTCAAAATAAAAGACTCGCTTTTTTTCTCCCAAACCATATATTTTCCCAATTCTTCCAAGATGGTTAGAGGAAGGGAGTGGGTGATTTCAGGTGGAGAATTACGAAAGCCCCGTGTTGTAAAGGAAAGGCTTGTCTGGGGAGGTGGCGAGGGGATGGGTGAAGAGCGGTCACAGCCTGGGAGCCGGGAGCAAGGAGCAGCGGGGACCCAGCCGGGATGGACTGAGGGCCGCGCTGTGTGGAGCCCTCCAGGCCTGACCAGAGAGGAATATGAGAGGCAGGGAGAACCACTAATATTTTTGAGTGGAAAAATGACTCAGTAATCAGGCAGAAGCCAACACAAGAGTACATGTGAAAAACAAAGAATTCCCCAAGGGCAGTCCTGTGGGGTTCGCTAAAGGCCACTAATTAATGTCCAATTCGTCTGGGTCCTTCCCTCTGTGCTTCTGTGCCAGCCTTGCCACGTCCTCATACTGCGATAATAAACGGCTATTAAGTGCTGACAATAGACCTGACACATTGCATGCATTATTTCACTTGATCTTCACAGCAACCATATGGGTAGATATTACTTTCCCCATTTTTCAGAAGAGAAAATGAAAATTAACTAGCCCAAGATTTCATCAGTAATGAGCAGAGTTGGTTTTTTTTTTTCTTTCTCGTCCCTGGTATGGCAACTTGCCCTTTCATTAGCTTGTCCTGAGGTGCCCAAGGAGGAAAGGAACACAAGACTTTATCCAAAGCCCAGCTCCCTCTGTGAGCACATCTAACATACTCCACAAGAGCAAGCTGACCTTACTTTTTTTTTTTTTTTTTTTGCGGTACGCAGGCCTCTCACTGTTGTGGCCTCTCCCGTTGCGGAACACAGGCTCCGGACGCGCAGGCTCAGCGGCCATGGCTCACGGGCCCAGCCGCTCTGCGGCATGTGGGACCTTCCCGGACCGGGGCACGAACCCGTGTCCCTTGCATCGGCAGGCGGACTCTCAACCACTGCGCCACCAGGGAAGGCCTGACCTTACTTTTTAAAGGAGCCACGGCTCAGCAACGCCCAGCCCACGGGACGCGTACTGCCTTTTCAACCCATTAGTTTTCCACTGGTCCTCAGTGAAGACAAGCATAGACAGAACCCTCCCTCCTCCACTGTGAAAGCCCAGACTATTGAGCTCAATTCAACTCTTGAGCGTGGCTATTGGTTTTTCTCTTGGTATAGAGAAATAATTGCTCACTAGCGTGTCCCAGCGCCTGACATGATTGATAGAGGATGGCTTTTAAAGTACAAGTTCACATCAACAAAGCCAGGCTTGGATCACCCTCCAGGGACTTTGCCCCACAGGGAACTTCTTTCAGGACCTCAGGAGGAAGAAACCTGTAATTATTTACATGGGACTTTTTTTTTTTTTTTTTTTTGGCGGTACGCGGGCCTCTCTCTGTTGTGGCCTCTCTCGTTGTGGAGTACAGGCTCCGGACGCGCAGGCTCAGCGGCCATGGCTCACGGGCCCAGCCGCTCCGCGGCATGTGGGATCTTCCCGGACCGGGGCACGAACCCGTGTCCCCTGCATCAGCAGGCGGACTCTCAATATTTACATGAAAGAAGATGGGAGGAGCACCTTTTGGAATGTCATCTCACAGGCTTTCCTGAGTTAGGAGTAATCTCCAGGCACACAGAGTTGGGATTTGAATCTAGCTTGTAGCCACCATTCAGTGGCATGTGAAAACTCTAGGCTATTTCAAGGATCATGGCAGTGGGATTTGCCCGTCTTTTAGAATCTGTAGTTGGAGTGAAAAATAACTTTTCCTGGTGATTTGTCATACCTTCCCTGCTCAAGACTCATTCTGCGTTTGCTTGGAGGGTAATTGCTACCTGTTGTCTTACCACTAGATGGCAGTATCACCCCAGAAATCCCTTGCAAAGTGGCCAGACTCCGGGATCTGGAAATTCCTTATCCACAGTGGTTTTCAGGCCCACGCAATCAGCCTCTAGGCCACGCCCACAGTCAGCTTTCACATCACCTGGCCTTCTCACTGTCCTCTGATCCAGACTTTCCATTGCCATTTTCCAATCCTGGACAGCGTCCCTTCCTTCCAGGAGACATTACAGTGTTATGGGCAGGAACACAGATGCTGGAGCTTCGTGCCTGAGCGCCAACCTGCAGCCGCTTACTAACATCCACATGGTACTTAATTGCTCCGTGCCTCAGTTTCCTCACAACATCCCCTACACTTTCATGAGAAGTAAATGAGTTAATATCTATAAGGTTCTGGTAGTAGGTAGAACAGTGGAGGTTCTCCTATAGCTCTCATAGCTAGATTCATAGTTTGAATCAAGTTCAAACTAGATTCTCAAGTTTGAATCTAATATGAAGTCCTGGGGGCCTTTTGAGCTAAGCTAAGGAACTCACTGGGCTAAGGAACATTTTTCTCTTCTTTAATATCAGCCTTCACTGCTGTAGCCTAAGTGAGTTAATCCCCATGGGGGCACAGAGGAGCACAAGCAGAGCTATTTGAGGTGCTTTTGCAACATCCCTCGAATTCCAGAGAATGTGTTCATGACGGGCCCAACCTCGGATCTGACACTGGGTTCGACAGGGCAGTGCCAGTGGGTTTGGAGCACATTTCAAGATGAAGTTGTAAAGAGATGTTGGGGTTTTTTTTTTGTTTGTTTTGTTTTAGGTGGCTACAGGGTACCTATTGAACAATATTCCTGCTTAACTGGGGTGAAGAGAAATGACGGGTCATTCATGAGCAGTCATGGCCCAGTTTCTTAGACAGCATACGTAGTTCTGCGAGCAGAAAGGCATCCCCCGCAATTCATCATGATGGGAGGCATCCAGGCCCTCCCGGTCCCTGCTGTGCCATTCAGCCATCTGTCATGCTTGAGCTGATTCCAGAAGTTGGACAAACCTGGGACTTTGAGGTCTGGGCTCAAGCCCACCAGTGTGCCTGACCCTTTGGAGCTGCAGTCAGGTTAATATTAACCTTGAATTGTTGATGCCTGAAGCCAACCAGTCGTGCGCGAGGCTAAGGCAAACTGAGGGGCAGTTTGCATCTTTCTGCAGCGTCGGAGCCTCTTATAGACTATGAGCCCAGCGGTGTGGCTGCCTCCCTCGGTGGGAGCCCTTGTGCAGTGAGTCACAGGGAGGGACAGGGACAAGACCCGAAGAAGGGCTTGCTGGAGAGTGTGGTTATAGGCCAATGACTTTTTTCGTGGGGCTGTATTGTTTGTCCTTGTTTTATAGGGTCTGAAGTAAGAAGGAAAATTCTCTCTCCAGCTGCTGAGTTTGCTACATAGATCAGATCTGATTGGAAGTAGACGGAGCTTCTGGGTATGGAGGTGAGCTAGGTAGCAAGAGCTGGGATTATGAACCTTACCAAGATCATGGAGAAAGTCGGGCCCTGGGTACAGACAAGAGTTCAGGATCCCAGAATCTGCTGGGTGTCTGGGGTCACCAGCATGGCTCTCCACATGGGACATGATGTGGGATCCAACAGCCCATTGATATGAGAGCCACTGGCATCTTGGGGACAATTTGTATTCTTCAGAAGGTTTATGTTGATCCAGGATCAAACATAGCTTATATATGAGTTAGGTGACAAGGGAGGGACGGTTGGCACAGGAGAGAAATCAGTAATGTCCTCCCTAAAGACACCTCATTCATGACATAGCTTTGCTCAGACACCAGGGTTCGTTACAGCTGCCCTGTGATAAGGTGTGTAAAGGCCCTCTCGCTGTGCTCAGGAGCAGTAAATGCTCAATAAATGGTAGTCAGTATTATCCTCAACAATAAACAATAACATTTAGAGGACATCTACTATATGCCAAGCAGTGTTCTAAGGGCTTTGCATATATTAACTCATGAGGTAGGGATCATCTTTATCCCCGTTTTACAGATAAGGAAACTGAGGCGCACAGAGGAAAAGCAACTTGTCCAAGATCACACAGATGGCCACCAGCAGAGCCAGGATTCAAAGGCAGACAATCTGGCCCCAGAGTCTACACTGTTAATTATTATACTGTTAATTCACACTTCAGAGAGCAGCTTATAGGAGACCAGAGGAGGAAGAGATTGGGGTGACCAAGGAAGTGGGGGACCTGAATATACAGCTGTTTCAGCTGGTCCTTCAGCATAAATTCAACTCTATTTTCTGCCCTCAAACCCAGTCCTTGGGTCTGAAATTCAGCCCACAGGTCCTGTTCCTACATGGACGGGGGTAGGGTATTCAGCTGAGGCCCCAGACTTGCTGAACCCAGAGCCAGTGGGCCAGCTAATGAGGGACTCCTAGGGAGTGTCTGTGCCTTCACAGCTCACAGGCTGACCTTTGCCCCTGCTTGCACCAAAACACGATGTTTTCATGCCTCTGCCTGTACTTGCTGTTCCTTCTTCCTGGAATATTCTTATCACTCCTGACTTGTCCTTATGATTCAGTTGCTGTGTCTTCCCAACCCTGAAGCCTCCCCCGGTGCTGTCAGGCAGAGCTGGCAGTGAGTGTGTGTGTGTGTGTGTGAGAAACACGTCCCACTGTATTCCTGTTGGTCCATTATGGTGGTGGCTTTTGCAGGACTTGCAGTTCCTTGAGGCCAGGAACCGTGTTGTATCCATTCTTGAAACCCACTGCCCAGCAGAGCCTGGCGCCTAGTAGGCACATGACTAGTATTTGTTGTAGAATCAGAGAACAGATATTGATATTAAAACCTGCGATCTCAGACAGAGAAGCAGGTATAGAATGCAGTCAGCATCATCCCTTCCCATCTCTACCCAGTGTCCCCCTCCTCTCTCCTTTCCATCATCTGTCTTACCGGAAGAGCACGGCC